AAAAATCTTTAATAAGTTATTCCTATTTATTATATAAGTTTAATTAATAAGATAAGCTAAAGAGTTCACTTATTTAGCTTAATTAAAGAGTTTTAAGCTTAAATTTAAGAGCCTTAAGAGACTTAAAAGAGGTTTATTAGGCCTTTTATTTTAACGATTATCTTTACTATTAGATAAGTTACCTAAATAGCTAGGGTTTATAAGGGCCTTATAAATTAAAGGTTTTAAGAAATAAAAGTAATATTAATTATCTCGTAAATTTCTTATATATACTATATAAAGTATATCTTTATTCTAATAAGATAAAGTAAAAGTACTTCTTTTAATACTTTATAAAATAATAGTAATAAGCGATTAAATTAAGTAATTTAAGGTAACTTTTCGCTTAATTTTACCTGGTATTCTTTTAATATTAATAAATTAACTTATCTTAAACTTTTTAAGAGTATTCTTAATAATAAATTTAATTAAAATATAAATATCTTAAAGTTATACTTAGGTATAAACGTTAAGGTCTTAAAAGCTAATATATTATTAGGCTAAGAGGTTAATAATAACTTAGTTTTTATTTATAGCTTAACCTTTAATATTATATTAAGTTCTTATTAGTTCTTAATAAAGTACTTAAACTTCTATTAAATTTTAGGCTTATACTTCTTATATTCTAGTAATTATAGTTTTTTTATTAGTATTATTTTATATATACTTAATAATTTAACCGTATATATTACTAGTAAATTAGTAGTATTCCTTATAGCATATTAAAACTAAGTAAATTTATCTCTTCCCGCTATAATACCTTACCTTATAAGGGTAATAACCTCTTAATATCTACCGTAAACCTCTTAGTAATAGCGTTAAATAATTAAGAGATTATAATAGTTAAAAGCTTTAACGTATTAGGCTTATAAGCGTAAAGCTTTATAAGCTTAAGTTAATTAAACGTTTAAGCTAATAATATTATTATATATTATTATAGATTAATTAATTAGTTTAATATTTTAGGTTAAGTTAAAGGCTTCTCTTATAATTACCTTAAAGCTAAAAGGGTTATAAATAATTATTTAACTTAAATTAATAAATATTATAACTTTAAGGTAAAGCTTAGCTTAAGGTTTTAAAGTAAGGTATTTTAAAAGGCTTATCTTTAAGGGTATAAGATTATTTATAATAAAAGCTTAATAGAGAGCTTAAAGTAAAAGAGTTTAATTTAATAATAATCTTATAGAATATTAAAGGTTCTTAGTTTTCTTTAAGTTAAAAGATAAGAGAAAATTATCTTATATATATAAAAGAAATAACCTATACCTAGTATACCCTATAGTTCTCGTAATCTCTTTATGTAATAAAGGGCTTCTAATCCTTGCTTAACCTAATCCGTGTAACACATAAATGGTCAAGGAAATCCTAAGCTAGAGGCCGAGTGAGCTGTTTTATCGTTTTTTTCCAGTCCCCTAGTTCGGCCGCATGGCAGTAACTAGCCTTCGTTAGTATAATACATACCCTACATCAAGGATAAAAGACGTACATTTTCCATTTTTTAAGTATGCCCGTGATGTTAATCTTGGTTCCGTTGGCGTGGTCAGGTAGAAGAAACTTTAAGTCCTTCAGCTTCTCCCGAGGAACAGCTCATTCTTTTGCACTTTAAGGCTTGGGTTTGTTAATTCGACGCTTTTCATTCTCGTGTTTGGTAAACTGTTGAATGAAGTCGTCATGATTTATTGTGTACGCGTTCTTGCGGGGGGCTCGGGGTGCCATCTTAATTACCTAGTCGCCAGTCTATGAGATGATGCAGAGGTCGAGGAAGCACACTCGATTGTCAAGGGACCCGATTTTATTTTATTTTGTGCCTTTCCCTAAATGTAACAAGTGTTTGTTGTGCTGAGTCGCTGCGGATTAAAATTCAAGTGACGGGTGAGAAGATGATGCTTTATACCTGTTCAATGCACAAAAGTCGGTGAAAGACAGAGAGAAAGAGATGGAGCGAGAGAGAAGATCCGAACCTCAAGCACAAGTAGCTTACGCCGTAGCCATTCACCAGCTCGTGTTAATCGATGTCAGCTCAATCAGGAACGGGGTGACAACGATGATAGAGTTGCATTGGATGGGCTGTCATTTGGTTCAGAGGCAATGAATCCTGTTAGCTGGGTCTGTTGCCGTCGCCTGTTTGCATCTTGAACGAGGAAAGTTGGAAATGCCATTAACGTTGTGTTAACTCAGGAGGTGTTCGGAAAAGCGCTTGTTAAGACACGTTCATAGCGTTTGCTCTATCGATATTGTTGATGTTTCCATGCAGTAGCGCAAGTCTATCAAAGGAGAACAGAACCAATAGAAATAAAAACTAACCCGCTTACTTCATTTACATCTAGTTGCACAGCAACATCCATCTCGTATCACTAATACTGCACTTAAGGGGACGTAGCGCCAGCCAATTCTCGCATAAATATAGGCCCTGGTAATTTTACACATGCCACACGGCGTTGAAACCTTTCATAGGCTGTTTACAACGCTCCTATTCAATCGGACAGAACACGACAGCACAGAGGGGTCCACGCCGCGAGAAATGGGAGTCGCGGCATCTTGATCTACTCCCGGTAAAATTTATGTATGTACAGCTAATGAGAAAAAAGGGCGGTGTAGGGTTGAATAGAGACCATGAAAGTTTCAACGATTGGGGCTTGGGATCTTCAATTAGATGATCCCGTAGACAAGGGAACTTCGCTCAGCAGCTCAGGGGCTTACAAATATTCTAGCCTCAAGTCGACAGCCATCAGCAACCAAGGTGAATGAAGTGGGAGTTCCTGAAGGCTTACCAAGGGTAAACAGCTGCATCCACATGACTGGTCCAGGGTGCAAAGTCTTTTTGTTGAAGAGTTGATTTGCTAGTCTACTGGGCCATGGATCAGGACACTATGAACTATCGCCACGGCATCACCCAAATACCCCTCCAGAACGGCGCAAGCATTATGCCAGGAGCTGTAGAAGCTGTGATAACCTTCATTGGACAGTTAAAAAACAATAGAATAAGTCGGGTTTAGCCCTCCTTCTGTGCCGACTCCAACATCATGAACGAGAAAGGCGGAAGTATATTGCGACGAGATAACAAAGTCGGCTACCGTGCTTATCAAATTGAAAATCGCTACTTTAGTATGCTACCCATATTGAACAAAGTGTCTGAAAACATTCCAAGCTATTATAGTTGGCTATGAGTGCTCAGCACACCGACGTCATCAAAATGCCCCCTCTTAAATGGCGCGCGTTTAGAATTCGGATGCGACGGGCCGGACCACTCTACTTTATGTGGCCAAAACTGAACAAGATCCTCTAGTGAGGCATTCTTTTACTTCTATCCAGACCTTGACGTTGGGGGAAAATTCAAAAGCCCACCCGCGTCGTATGCGATTAAGAGAGACCGTGAGAAAATCATCAAGTAATTAGTTCAACCTTGGGTGGATATTGACGCGAAGGCTGAGGCGGGTTTCTTCCTCCGCCGTGGTGCATGATAAAAGATGGCCGTGGTAACATCGTTGAAAAATTGGCGCAATAGATGCCAGGCAATAGGAATAATGTCTCGAGACTGTCATGTAAATATGTCACAAAAAATCATGCTCTAAGTGAGAGGCCATTAGACTTCCGTATCTTGTGTTGGCACCTCGAGCAAGCTTGTCTTAAAACAACCTAAAAGCCATTGCGATCCGAGCTGGATCATTGCTCCCTGTTTCTCTGGCTGTAGGCCTATAGCGTAGTTTATAGTGGCAGAGCTTGATTTAAACGGCCAAAAATGTGCCCTGTCACGAATTCGCCGTGCTTCAAGTTATATTTAGTTTTAAAACTGGAAGGTAGTTGATATGAATTCACGGAATTACTACCGCTAGGATAACGAGACTTAAGACTATCATAAAAAGAATACAGTCTCTTTGCGAAAGCCGTGAGAACCCCTCATATTCCGTCAGCAAGATGCGATGCCGTCAATATACCTAGGTATTGAACATACAAGTCTCTATAATGCTAAGGTCCCTGGACCCGGCTTCTTGTCGGCCACGGACTTGATCCATATCTTGAGGCATTTGGACAGTATTTGATGCTGCAGCTGCTGTGGCAGCGCAAAATACTAGTTACTGCCAACAAAATAACATAGCTGCATTCTCAAAATCCAACAAATCTATGCCTACTTTTTTCTATATACGCAGTACACCGTGTCCGCTCGGCGGTAGAGCTCAGCTCGCCACCATGTCAGCCACGATCAACTAGGAGCTCTTGATACTGCTGCATGTCTTGATGATTGCCTGGGAGAATGACACTCGCTGCTGATCGACTCCTGGAGGCAAGCCACGGGTGCAACATTGCTTATGCGCATATGCACATGATGGAACTGATACGGTGGATTATCTGCACGTCCGAAGCGATTGGGCCTTCTTCCTTTCCGTCTTCCGAGGTGGCGCTGGCAAATCGCCTTGACTGGTAAAACTGCACAGGATCAGGTCTCCGATGGCACTTGGGCACCAAGACACCTCATGGAAGCTGGGTTGGCTGGCCATGCATCCAATGCATGTCTCATCTCATTTCCACGCGCTCTGTCGCACGGCATTGTACTTGGCGGCTGGTCCTACATCACCAGCCAGTGCTCGTTGGTTGGTTCTTCACTGAACTCGTGAGCTCCTCCATTTCGCCTGGACAACCGGCTGGGTGTAGGTCATCCTCCGTCCGTTTCCGTCCTGGTACGCATTCACTCGTGTGCTCTAAGAAGAAGCCTGCGGAAACTTTAGTAGTAGAACTCGTGACTGGAAACATCACGGCTTGTGAGCAACATCACTTCTGTATCGAGGTGTTGCGAGTTTGGACACAAACGAATGCATCAATATATGACCAGCGTAAACACTCATCGATGGCGTGTACTGAACTCAAGATGATCCACATGACCGTTGTATTAACTAAACAGTTGAGGCATCATATTTGGCCAACTTTACGTCAGTTGCCATGCCCGTGGCGTTAAACTAACCCTAACCAACGACGACGTTGACCTTGAGGTCCTTTCCATCAGTAACCGTGTAATTGAAAGAGTACTTTCGCCCGTCGCGAGTGACTTCATACGAAGAAAGCGTCTTCCATCGCACATCGACGCGCTCCTTGTTTTGCGTGCCGCCCCATTCTGCCTCGTAGTACTCCGGGGTGATGACGACACCAGTCTGAGAGGCAGGGTCCAGCTTGGTCACAATGTCGCCCCATGGCTTGTGGTTGTGTACGCCAAGGGTGACGATGAAGCTCTCCCCGCTGTCGGCAAGGAAGCGAAGCGAGCCGGCGGTACCGCTGGCACCCATGTGGAGGACGTACGCAGTATTGGTTTCGCTCCAGGTGCCGTTCCTAAACACGGTTCTTTCCACAGGGTGAAAGTAAGTATTCGTGTTGGTCTGGTAGACGCGTACGGTGATTGAGTAGGACATTCTGTGCGAGTTCCTAGGTTGGAGCGTGTGTATGTGGATGATGAAGAGTAATGTTGTCTTTCTAGCTTGTAGAGTTGAGTTTGATGAGTGTCTAAGAAACAAAAGGACAATACGGAGCACTTGAGGTCTATATAAACTTTTTCGGAACATTCAAAGCCTCAAGAAGAAGGAGGAGAGAGGGCAGTGCCAAGGAATATCGCTAGGCATCCTCGTATGGCGGTGGGTTTGGAAGACGTGAAGCACATGCAAAAACGACACGGTTTTGTGACCCACCCCCAAGTATGTTACAAATACTACTGGTGATTGGGGAAAACTAATGATTGGAGGACGAAGTTTCTGTGTCGTAAAATGTTGATGGAACAAGCAGCTTCGATGTTGCGTAGGAGCTCTTGCTCCGGCCATGCGTGAAGCTGTTTCCGGTGAGACACAGGGGCGATTGGGCGTAGTTATGGCTCAGTGTATCGCGAAAGATTTCAACGCAGTAACTATCTGAGGTCTGGAGTAGTTTCAGCAGCCCCTCTATGCATATGACATGTCATTACTGTTGCTCCAGGGGTCTCTGCGCCGTAGGTTACGTCGTTTCGATTATGCGAGGCTACCAGCAACGCGCGGGCCCCCCCATGGTGAGTCATTGTGGTCAGTCAATGTTCACCCTCTGGTGGCTGTTGCAAAATCTTCATTGGCTAATATTAATCCTACATTATGCGTTGTGGGACGCTTATGGTCTAGGACGAGTTGCATCCTCATCATATTGGCCATCACGGGCCGACTTTGATACAGGGCCTCAAAAGTGGCAGAGTGCGACCCGTGATAGTAACCCAACCCAAATCACCTTTGAATTTCAGGCATCGATGACTCTCGGCGGGAAGCGCGCTTGTATATTGAAAATATTCTTGATTCCGTTTCCATGACCGAACATATTCTGAGGTTGGAATTTCTGCCGCACTTCTGTCAAAACTACATTAGCAGAGGACATGATTAGTTTCGGAGATCATTTACGCCCGACCTTGGGCCTGAAACCAGAACTCGAGCTAGCCGCGGGCCGGGGGGGGGGGATGAGTAGGGATGCGTGTAATAGAGACTTAAGAAGAAGCTTACAGGCGATGGTATCAAGTTCTCAAGTGTTGTCAAGGTTGAGTCAATGTTGGGGAGCCAGGGATTGCATAAACAAGCATCGTGCCCTAAATGAACATGGACGAAAAACGAAATGGTACTGCCAGATATTCTCTAAACATAATTTTAAAATACTCTCATCTATTCAATAGTTCTCATATGTCTTCTAGCATAATATATATATACTTTTTATGATTAGGATATTCTTTACCTCGCTACTTGAGCGACATAATGTTTCATTCATCTCCCGAATTAACCTTACCACGCCATTAAAAATTCTATATCTTGATATGACAACACTTACTCAACCATTCCCTCGTTGTGTTGCCTACCACTCACCTCCCCGCGGTTAAGGCGACGTAGGCAGGTTGCTATGCGATGATAGCGATATACCACTTGGAATCTGACATGTCGCCAAAAACCGTCCGCCACATTAACTACCTACATATTTAACGAACGATTCTATGAAAGGCGTTCCGAATCCGTCTTTCGGTTCACGTAGCATCAGATGAGACGCCCCTCCAGTAAGACTCGGCGAATCTCATGACCGGTGCTCCTTAGACAATCAAGGGCTGTGTTTCTATGTCAGTATCATCTAATTATTGACCTCACCCTCTTCAAAATCCTTGAGTTTCCTGATGAAAATGAAGATGGCCATGGTGTTTTTCTTGGTCACTTTCTCATAGTACAAGCTGACATGGATGCGGGACTTGAAAGACTCATCGAGAGTTCCAACTCCATCGACGGAAAGAAAAGGTATTCAGCCGTGGTATTTGAGCACACACAAAAAAAAAACTGTGAAACATCAGCAGTCGTTACGAAAATGTGATCAAGCGTGCATACCTGAGACCAGCGCGTTGCAGCGCTTAAAATTAGACCCTTTTTACGAACAAAACATCGGCCCCGTGGAGCCAGTCTGAATATCTCCTTTACTTTCTTTCAACCTCCTTGAGAGCAAAGTCGACGCCTCCGCAAGTAATGGCGAACAGCGGTTGATTATTCGACTGCGCACCGGCTTCAGCAATGGCCCTCGTGCTAACTCTAGGGACGCCGTGAAGAAGGATAAATAGTCTGTGCCCTTTGCCGCACACAAAATCCTGATCAAATCTGATAAGCGGCAGCTCCTGAGCTTGGAACTCCTACGCCGTCGGGCGTACGTGACAGGGCTGGAAGCAGCTATTCGGGGCAGATTGTGTAAACGTGTTGAACAACCTTGCTCACTAATTATCGTGAGAGATTACCGTGTAGGCTATAGCTGAATTTACTATACTCTTCATCGTCGGAGACTATTAGAAAGATTCGATACCCCCTGTGCGCTCTCTGAAAAGCATCGTGGTGGACGACAGATTGCCCCCCGAGTTCAAGGACATTATTACGGTTTCCGCTACATGCCGTCTGCGGCTAAGAAAGCTGGTGAAACATGACGGGTACATGTTCTTGACCGGGAGACCATAATATTCCCGTCTTTCAACTTGGATTCCGATGATGATGATGATGGGACAGATGATGAATTAAGAGGTTGTCGGTGGGTTGGTTGCATTAACATGAAGGCCTGGATTAAATACTGCACTCCCAAACCAGCCGGCTACGTATGGTATTTAGATGAACCCAATAGTCATTAAGCCTAGTCTAGCTACTAGATCAGGTGATACTCGTGCAAAAGCTGGCCGATTTGGTTCTTCTCCATCTTCTCAAACAAAAGCTTCCGTATCCTCTCCGGCAGCCAGGTTACCAGTTCCTTGCCATCCCTCAGTTGACAGGACGCATTCAACAGGTGTCTAATGTCGTAGGTCGAGGCAAAAACCTCTGGCACGCCGCGGTCCACGCCGGCAAGCTGATACACCGACTCCATGGCCGTTCGAACGGAATACTCGGTGGTGAAAATCGTATCGCGCGTCGTCTCGGCGAACTGGCCGATGAATGCGAAATTCTTGGACCCCGGGGGCACGACATCTGGACGGTCTCCGGCCTGCCGCGGCATGAAGAAGGACGTGACATAGGGCATCATGACGGGCACACACTTTGCGCCTGTTGCAGAAAGAACTGCTATGTCGGCCTCGGGAACACCCAGGTGATACAGCCACTCTTGCGTGATTTCCTCCCCGGTGCAGTCTTGCATTGCCTTTTTGACGTAGTTGCCTGGCTTTTCGGTGAGCAGGCTGTAGACCCAAACAACGATCTGGTCCTTGGGCTGGTTCTTGAAGTGAGGCTGCCGGTTTACAGTCCAGCTCATGAGCCAGTTGGAATCTCGTACGGTGACAATGCCACCAGTCACCACTCTGCCGCTGAACGGGTCTCGCTTGCAGATCCTGTGGATGTAAGACGGGATGCGAGGGTCCAACGTCGTCACGGTCGCGGACTGCCACTTTGTCGCGGGAATGTTGCCGCAAAACACCTCTGGACGACCAAAGTCGGTGCTCTTGGCCGAGATGCGTCTCCAGAGATCCCATGCTGGTGCAGGGCCGTCCTGAATCGTGGCAGGAGTTTGATGGTCTCCGAGGTGGGAATTCTCGGTCAGGGAGCCGATGGTAATAAAGACCAGGTCATCGACACCAACGGCCCTGCCACCCTTTTGGCCGTCTTGAACCCAGTGGATGAACTTGGCCTGCTTCCCATGGTCGGTAATGTCGAAATCCACATCGTGAACCGTGGTGTTGAATTGAAACCTGACGCCCTGGTCCTCCAGCCACTGCTGTAGCGGCAGCACCAGCGATTCGTACTGGTTGTACTTTGTAAATTTGAGCGTGGAGAAATCCGGCATGCCGTGGATGTGGTTCACAAATCGGTGGAGATAGAGCTTCATCTCCAACGTAGAGTGCCAGGTTTGGAATGCAAACATGGTTTGCCAATACAGCCAAAAGTTACTCTGGAAGAAGTCTGGCCTGAACACCTCATTGATCCTCTTATTTTTAACTTCTTGTCTGGAAGCCAGGAAGAGTTTAACCATTTCTGTCTGCGCAGCTTCACTTAACGTGAATAGCTTGCCCGTTTGGGCGTCTTGGCCGCGTTAAATCGTTGCGCGCTGCAGCGAGTAGTTGGGGTCGCGTTTGTTTAACCAGTAAAACTCGTCCAAGACGCTGGCTCCTTTTTCCTCGATGGATGGTACAGAGCGAAACAGATCCCAGAGACACTCAAAGTGAGCCTCCATTTCGCGGCCGCCGCGGATGACGAAGCCCTTGTCGGGGACTTTGAGCCCATCTAACGCGCCGCCCGGAATGTGTAGCTCTTCTAGGATGGTGATGTTTTTGCCAGGCATTTAAGCATCCCGAACCAGAAAGGCCGCGGCTGAAAGTCCGGCCAGGCCAGCGCCAACTATCCAGGCATGCTTGTTGTTAATGCCTTTGGGTTTGAGCGGCCTAGCAAAGGCCTCGTAATTGCCACTGCTGTAGTACATTTTTGAGCAAGGTATTGGTTTGATTTGGGTTTAAAGACTTGAGAGATTTGCATTTTTCTTTCTTTCTCTCTTTTTTTTTTTGACGTGATGCCATTTCGTTCTTTTACCTTGGATGGTTTTCGCCGTTTGCGGCTGAGATCTGAACCCACCAATATTGCCCTCAGTCGATGGCATTTTATCGTATGTTTATTCCAAGCTAGGCCTCTCCATCATGCGACCGGCCGGAATTGGCGGAGGTGACGGAGCATTGAACCCGGAGCTTTAACCGCAATAGTCCAGCGCCTCAACCATGATTGGCTTTTGCCAACCGCGTCGGAGGGCTTCGGGTTGGCCATTTTATCGCTATACATCAGCGGCCCACTCATATTGAATGGAATGCAAACTGTCTGGTCCGGTAAGGCTGAGAGAAAGCGGTATCTACGACGTTGAGTCGCGGCGCCATTTTCTGACATGTGACGGCCGGCGATTGTGGCATCGCGCAGACTACCCAAAGGCATCCTCGGATGGAAAGCCTGGATGCCAAATGTAATTAGCAAATGTCTAGATGTGCTCTGGCTCCCAAACATGATTCGTCACGCTGCGTTCGGACTTTCTGGCTGCGGCCAAGATTGCCTTTATCGTTCATCGCAACGGGAACTATGACGAGTCCCACGCCAAAGGCTGGGTATTCCCGTATGCATCGAAGGACGAGCATGACGTCGCGATAGCGGGCAACTGGGATGAAAATGCGGATTTTCGTCACGGATCACCAGCGGCCCATTGTGTCTATTTACGGCCCCGGATTGATTGATTCGCAGCTGTTTAAAATTCTTCAAGATTGACTACTATTTCAACAACGTACTACAAGGTATGGAAACCCCTCTAAACCCCTTATCGATTCGCCAAGTAGAGTGGCTTTACACTGAAAGTCCATATTCACTTATCTTCAACTATTTGAACGGTTTTTGAGGATTTCTCGATAAATCCGTTGTTTTGTCTTCCGTTGAGTGTTACAGACTCATAAAGGTAGGTGCGTCGATTCATGAAACAACAAAGAAAATATAGACTATCGCATGTCTTTGCTATGGGATCGTTGAGATAGCTAGTTGTAAAAGGTATGGATTGTCTTGCAAACCCAGCCAAGTGAAACAAGCTTTAAAAGGCCTGTATAATGGTCGTTTGCCACAATAGGACAGTTGACACCTCTCAGGACCCATGCTGAGTTCTGACTTCCGACTTGGATGCGTCGAGACACAACGATAGTAGTAATAGATCACATCGCGCCGACAAGCCACGGACCGCCTGTCGTATTATTACTCGATTCTGTAGCACCTGCGGCTACGTGCGAGTGAGGCTGGAAACAAGATGTAGAGGTAGAGAAGAGAGCACGCGTGTCCTAGGGGAGCAGTGTCGCGCTTGTCGCAATCAATCGGCGGCTATATCAGAGATCGAAGTTTTGGGCTTGGATCCAAGCAGGGGCAGCCGAGGCTGAAAGTGCATATACCTAGTCCCATTGAATGCTGAGACAGAGCCCATGCTTCTCTCTTGGCATCAAGGTATCTTAGGTGGCGTCCTACATCTTTCCACAGCTCCCAGTAGGCGTTTGAGTAGGAACGGGTTATCAGTGAATCCCTCCAACGGAATCGCCGCCCCTAAATTGAGAACTAGTCCTCTTAGTAGGCTACCACCCAAACCTTGGCTAGAAGGCCTTCAGTTTCGCGAGAAAACAACCAGAAATATGATTTTTATTTCATTGCCTATAAATACATATGTGTGCTGTACTTGTCTTCGGTTGAAGATGCACATTTTACACCCCGACGTCATCCCAAAGCGTAATTGGTTTAGTGGTAAAATTCTCCGTTGCCATGCGGGCAACGTCGGGGAGCCCTGGGTTCGATTCCCAGATTACGCAGGTCAGTTAATTTTTTTTTATGGTGCATGACACAAGACATCTTGGTTCTAGTTTAGATACGACCAGGCACATAGTGTTATTGCTTTATTAGGCGGTGTGGTCTAGTTGTTGAAATTTGACCGTGTAACAAATATTTCCTCGAAACCAGTCAACTGCCCTACATCAATGGTCCTTTGTGCACCTTGTTGGAGCCCTTGAAGACCCTGCCGAGACCAGCACTGAGTGCCTCAGTCCGGGCCCTAGAAAACGCCACTGTCATGACTAACGGCCTCTGAATATCACCTTTTTTACCCAACTGGTATCCAGTCCGGGCGAATCTTTCGTGCCCACCCTACTGTAAACCATGGAAGAACATCTACTGATGCTTGGTGTTGTGATTGGAGTCGGAATCGGAAACACGATTCATACTCAACATGTTCGGGCTGTTCGGGATGCTGAAATTGACCCAATTATCCATGTTGTACCATGCATTCGGGTCAGCAGAGTTGCTCAAGCAGTCCCAATTCTCCAGCGCTGCTGGACTGTGTAGGTTGTTTGGATCCTTCGGCTCGACAGAGTCTGCCGAGTGATCCTGGTTGATGACAACTCCTGGGCTTGTAGGGCCCTGGGGTGTGAAGACAAGATCCTGGTTGACGACAACTCCTGGGCTTGTAGGACCCAGGTTTGTAAAGGCAATGGAAGGGGTCGCCCCGTTCATTGACTTCTCAAAGTTCGAGTATTGATGCCGCATCACGATAGTACCCGCATCATGACGAAGGCACTCCCATTCGTTGATCTTGACCATGTCTTGCTCCTTTTGAATACGGCGGCTGTGATTGGGAGACATTGCAATCATACAGAGCCACCACAGAGCAAGTTCCGTGGTGAGCATATTGAGGCCATGCTTGGTCCATGGGATCGGCATGATTGCTACCGTCAAGTTTCTCTCGTTGCCAGCGTCAGAGTCAGAGAAGCAGCATGCAACTAGCTCTTCTTCAGTCTGAATGTACCCATAACGGGTTCCGGAGATTTGACATAAGTGACCCAGCTGTCGTACTGGCAAAGTTATCTCCCCTATTGGCTCTGGGAGCTTAGCCAGGAGTTTCATACTTGTCCACTTCGAGGATAATCTCTCAAGGCCAACGACAAGAACGGGTTCCAAGGGGTTATCGAGCCCGATAACATGGGCCACTTGAGAGGCACTACGCGCATTGGGTAACCTCGCAATAAACGACTTATCAGGAGTCGAGTAACGGTACGTGAGATTACTCTCTTGGCAGATTCCAAGGCGTGTCTTGGCGACTGGGAGTGTCTGCTGCATTAAAGCATCATTCCAGCCGATCAAGTGTCCGATATCCCTGTCTACCTTGGTCTCAACTCCCTGTAGTATCTCGACCTGAGGCAAGTCCAACGGATGTTGTGGATCATCAGCGTCAAGGATATGACCGTAACTTTCATTGAGATTTGCCAGGTTAAAGTCGCGCCAGATGGTGACAACGTCTAACTCTGGCCAAAATGCGTTACGGCTGTTTCTGTTGAGCTTTGACTTGCAGCGTATGGTCGGCTTCTGCTGGCAGAGAACATGTCGCAATGTTGGGGCAGTACGCTGGCTCGCCATGTTGTGGGTTGGGCTTCGTGTCTGGAATTCGTGGATTGCTTGAAATGTCAGACGTGTCATCTGTGGCAGGGTATATTTGCCCACCGAGAAGTATAAACTAGTATACCATAATAAATTAATAATCAACTAGAAGGAGGTAGCCAGGTACCTGATCTCGTCGAATGCTTTGTGTCTCCTATTGTTGAGGGGTCTCATGAAAGTCAAAATTTGTTCGCTTGTTGCACCACAGGCAGATGTACTTATAATGGGAGCAAGTGATTCCTTCACCCCGCTGGAGTAACACAAATCACATGTGTGATTGTGTAACAGTGTAACGTTGGGCGCTGAAATACCCGCCAGGCTTTTCGGTCCATGCGCAACAGTTTTTGCGCCCAACGCGGTTCTACCCGTGCCCGCCATTAAAGCTCTCACTACTAAAGTGTTACCCGTTGACAACTAAGTGGCTGGCCTACTTAGTTGTTGACGGGTATAACTGTATGTATTATCCCGTTATATAGGATAAAAAGTATAAGTTATACTAGTATAACTAAAATATAATTAAAATAACCTTTTAAGACTAATTAAATAAAGCTAAATATACGAAAAGCTAGTAGGTATTTAAGATTTTCGGTATTCTAGTTATATATAGAGGTAAAATTCCCATCTAGATCGTTTAGAAGAACAAGCTCAAATACACTCTTTTAAGTTTTATCATATACCCTATCTTAGCTAGCTCTTCAATAACATTATTAATTTAAAAGTTTAAATATTAATATACATAACCTTAGCCTAGCCGTCTTACTAATGTAGCCGCGTTGCTAATAAGCACCATCTTCGGTGGTGAGAGCTTGATTAAACAACCAAATTATGGGGCGAGCACGGGTATTCATCGTTGGGCCACCTGGACACGCGCTTTGTTCGAGAATCGAAATGTGACCAGGGCTCGATCAGTCAGCGTTTGAGTGGCTGGACCGGCGTGATGGAGGATGTACGAGATGCGCTGATCCCTTGAGCCATAGACTAGGTCCCATGCCAACGTGAGCCTTTGTTATATGTAGGTGTACGCAAAGCTGCTGCTGCCTCTCAGTGCTGTTCAACGTAGTAGTAATTAAAGGTTATCCAGACCACTTATAAATCCAAGTTTGAACCATACAAGGCTTAACATTCGTCTCTTTCCCGCTTCGCTTAACTATGTGATTACACTGTAACAATCGCCAATCGGACCAGACACCACTTACCTGTCGTACAGCACCACATTTCTGGTGTAGAATCATTCCGCAATCAGCCGGTATTGAGCAGCGCAGCCATATTTGTTCACCTGCCCCCTACAACTACAGGTTGTGGAAAGATCAGACCACTCTTGCAATGCCATCTAAGGTGGTAACTAAAGGATGTCTTTCGTTTCAAATGGGCCGCCAGCTCCTTAGGACAGTCCAAATACCACCGAGGGGGCCTGTTGTTAAGCCGAGTCCGCGGTTTTAACACGGCTTCTCTCGATTTCATTGCATTGTAATACTTAGTACTCTGTCTTGTTCTTGGACCATCCCGTGTTCGACTCGTAGCCGGCCCCGGGCTAGTAACCGACGCCTTCCAATTATACGTCCTTGGGTCGACGAAGGTATAAACACGGTCCCGTGATGGTGTACTTCGTAGGTTATAGTCGATTCGGCAGCCACGTCCGTTAGGGAACGCAAAAACTGTGATTTCAGTCTTCTGGTCCTCATGCTCCAGATTCCATAGTCGCACCATGTCATCAAATGTCCAATAATCATTGATGGTTATTAAAAAGGTTTCATATGCAAGGGCGGGCAAGGCAATAGGCGGAAGATGTGGGTTTAGCTCAGGAGTCGTGATAAAGTGAGGGACAGTGATGGCTGTGCTGAAGTCGCAGAGCTTGCCGTTGATAAGCTGTCGATCAGCCACATCAAGGTTGATAATGCCGAGCTGGTGAAACCGCTTAACGTCTCGAAGGACTTTACGCATGTCCTTTGTTTTTAGATTCTTTGCCTCGGAGCCGAATTCCTTAAGGATACCCCGGATAGGGGGGGGCCTACCGCTTTTACCTGCATAGCTCGCACGTATGTCATCATACCCTGCATCATAGACATTTCCATTGAACTCGAGCTCATTATCACTAAACTTCTCCATCATAGTTCGTTCATGTTCTTCATCGAGGAGTAGGTAGCCAAAGCATTTAACAGACAGCTCCTCATAGCCGGCTTCTTGAAGACGGCCAAAGCTGCGACATTCGCAGTTAAATGGCTCTGCGTAATTATATATGGTGTTTAACGCAGTAGTATCGCTCTGGTCAAAGGTTTCTGCGGGGCCTATCCATTCTCTCACGTAGTCAAACCTAAACTGCAAAAACATGGTTAGGTCTCCATCATGTGTTGCGCATGCTTCAACAGGGGGGGCATTACTTACGAGTTTCAACGCGTAGATGTTTCCTAGAATTTCGACTTTGAACACAAATGAATGTAGGCCTTGCCCTAGGTATTCAAGAAAGTCAATCTTTTGTGGGCCGAGAAAGTCAAAGGGCTTCAGCTTGGGGCCAGGACATTGTGGGAGCGGCACCAAATCATCGAAGGACTCTGGCCAGTCTGGATGCATTTTTGATGGCTCGGCTAGGTGTTGATGCTGGACGAAAATGGGAGAAGGCACTGCTTTTTGTCAGGGATACAGCAAGACATGATGGAAAAACCGAATCAAGCCAGAAATAGAAACGGCTTGCAGTTTCTTGTCTATTTATATTCATGGGAAGAGAGTTTCATTGGCTGCTATATTTGTAGTTTTGCACAAAGAGACGCGACGTGATTGTTGTTCCCCTGAAAACACCTTGCGACAAGGCAGAAATGTGGTTAGTAAGCAAATGGAGATTGGCTGGTTGAGACTCGCTTACCTAAGGAAATTGTATGGCAGCCAAGAGATTACTGGCCCGTGCCGTCCCGCCTCCTCTTTGTACTTGTAACCTCACATGCATGCCGCTCGGGCCGCTTTCTTTGTACACCCAGCCCTTTCCTTTTTGCCCACGTGTCACAGACTCCGGTGCTCATTTGATTTGACTGGCTTGTTTGACGCTTTGTGTGCGCCGTCATGCACAATGGCCATCCTTTGTGGCCTCCCAAACGGTCTAGTGCGCAATCTAGAATGAATGACTGGAATAGTCTGGTAAAAGCAGTCTGGTCAATTAGTCACGGGGCTCCAGAATAAAATGTAGCGATAACATTGAAACATGAAGCCTTCACGCCGCATCTTAGATATAGATCCAAGTGCTAAAAACTGCAAAAGTCATCGCCAATCAGCCGACTTCACCAGTGAATTGCGGAAATGGGGCTTGTTCGTACCTTGATGCAAAGGTCCCTACCTGGATGGTATGTGTCCTTCAGTGCAATGCCACGACAAGCGCCCCATCGTCTATTGCCATCCAATATGAACCCGCGTGTTGGGGTAATTGCCGCTCTTAAATGGTGGCGATGGCAAGGTCGAGAAGCCAGTTTTTAAACCATCCATTTGTGCTGGAAGCGTCGGGAATAACAGACATTGTAGAAGCTGGGGTTTGTAAGATAGGAAAGACATGGATGTCTGTTGAAGCTGATGCTGAAAGTATTGAAATGCTTGCAGCTTGACACAAATATCGAAGCATTAGGGTAGGCGGGAGTGGGTGTAATCAGAAGATAACTATAGGCCTTGATTGGCTCTGACCGTTTTAATTTCATTGTTGAATTGAAAGTACCCAAGAGATGGACAAGGGAACCCTTGAAAACGTTACTTTTCGTTCCGATTATGCGAAAAGAGGTCTGAGACATGCAGTTAGGACTGGCATCTTTCCATCATCACCAATAAATGGATGTGATGCGTAGCTGTTCAGTGTTTTACGCACCTGTATTTATTGCCAATACAGGTACCACAACGAAAATGAACCAAATGATAATTGTACTGAATGCTGCGACCATTAATTACTTTGTGTCACGCATTTCTGCCCCTGCGTATGCCTTCAAGGCATTCAAAAAAACCTTGTACCTGAAACGGCCATTGTCCCTCATACAGGACAATTCCGCCGACCGGCTTTGCCAGGGCGGATAGCCGCACAGGTCAATATGACCACCAAATACAATAAGAAGATCTGGGTTCGGCATAATAGTTTCTTCAAGCTCCTTCTGTATCAATTGCATAGAAACATCGTCCATGTCGACCTCACCAGCATAGACCTTTTTCGCCCAAGCACAAGTCAGCTCAGCAACAGTATCCCTGCCGTCCTCCCCAGCAATCAAGTAGAGCTTGTAGTTCTCCTGGTCACTCTTCTCGGACTTCAGCAGTGGATCGGGCTCTTCACGGGGAGAAAAGACGGATATGCCTGAGAGGTCTTCTGGAAAGCAGGTCTCGAACCGCTCCAGGATCAATTCGTGGATCTGTGACATATTCTGCTTAAGAAGCCCAGTGAAGGTGTCAAAACATTTCCCGTTGGAGTGAAGTAATTGTGCTACAAACCTCATCTCTCATAAACAGAAACAGTCCTGATTCCAGCGCAAGCGCACCACGTAGTAAACTCGACTACCTCTCGAATCAGGCGGGCCGTGTTGTGCTCAATGGAGGCATTTTTACTGGCTTCGAGAATTGCGCTCATGCATTTAAGTTTCTTGCCTAGCTTCCCAACATCTTCGGATATGCTTCATACAGAGGGGGGTGCCTCAGGAGATTGGATAACTCACACCGGATTGCATCGTTTCACACGACGGCTAAGGAAATACATGGATGAGATGCCTTGCAAGACGTGATTGAGTGGCGTTCTCAGCAGACGGACGCTACGTCTCGCGCGATAAAGTGATTTAGCCATGTTAGTCGTTCTGTGCGTCGCTCAACGTAATCTTCGGCATACTCATTCGAGATAAACCGCATTACATTAACTAGTTACACCCGAAGCCCGATACTACCCCCTTCATGATCGTAGGATGGGAGTGCACGGTCCCAGATGGAGCATCATTTGGCCAGCCAGGAAGACTTTTACGCACTTGGTGTGTGATATAAGACATCTGCTATTTGTTTCCGTGTCTCGGCAACTCGGGAACTTGCGATCCAAACTCATGAAGGGTCCTCCGTGATTTATTGGCCCTTATTGGCTTTGTCTTCAATCCACCCGCTCCCGCTTGGTGAATGTGAATTCACCCGAGGATCATGCCAGATCATGTCCATGGCCGTGGCTTTTTTGCTTTTTTCCAAATCGAGACAGCCTACCCAACGGTCGCGTTTTAATGAGCATGTGACACGACTTCCTGAGACATGGTAATCAACGAACGGAAAGAAGAAAATATTCCGCAAGATAGCGCCTTCATGCACACCCACCGAAACTACGACGAAGCCAGCCTCTGTATTGGCAGTGATGGCTTGGCTGAGCGAAAACCTAATGGTGCAGTGACTGTCCCAGTTTCAGCTCACATCTCTTTATGTGTCTCTCGAACCATGGCTTCTATCTCTCCCGTGCAATGGAGCACGGAGTATTCTTCCCTTCCCTTTTTCTTTAGTGTGGGTTATGCTAACATGGTTTTATTTTAGAGATGATTGCATCCTGCTCGAAAAACTATTAACCAAGACGATGCATTCGACAATGCTATTATCTTCATGTCTCGGAATTGCATGAGATGGGCTTGCGTTGCCATACTATCGCAGATCCAAGTGGGTATTGTCAGTCATGTAATGATGTCGAGGGAAAACGTCGGCGGACGCTGAGCCCGGATAGTCCTGTAGGACACAGTGGAAGGCAAAAATGATTTAGCCAAATCAGGTACCTGGTTATCACGCTTTATATTATAACATATTAGGTTTTCACGACTCGGGGGGTGAACATACTCTGCCAGCTGTACAGCATTATAGTTGAAGTTGCAGCGGGCCCGGGACCTTCATGCATTATTTTATTTTTTTGTATTTCAATCTTTCTCTCCCAAGTCTATCATGGACGGAGGGCTATAAATTTCATGGGAAATGGTCTGTAACGGCTTTGTGAAAGCTCCAGTTAAGGTCCTCAACTGCTTCCCACCAATGTCCACCATTGCCTGGAATACCTTCTCACCTTGCTCTTCCCAGAGAATCGTGAGTCTCAACTCTGGTACTAGTGCTCCTCAGGAGCCATCGGTTGTGTGAAATATGGATAGTCAATGTTATCCATAAAATTTCATGTGCCTGCCAGTAATTTCAACAACACACCCAGAATAGACCTCCTCAAACTCTTGATCAAACTTCTGATCAACTTTCACCTATACTGGCATCCCAAGCATCTTTTTGGCCATCTCTATGCGGGGGCCATCACAGACATATCGTGGGATAATGGAGTTTCGATATGAAAGTCCTGACACCATGAGTATGAATGCCTGCGCGGCCTTCCTGACATTCGGCGACACGTCATCGTTGCTTAGTATCTGCTTCGATGCGAGCTCACACTTATGTAACAGTTTGTCTGCAAATCAAGAAGCCTTGTTCGGCATCACAACTATCCTCTCTCACCAAGACAGATATTGTGTTATCTGGCTCGGTCCCCGTTACCTCGCTCTCCGTCATCTCCACTGGCCAACTGACTAGGTCATTGCAAAGTATAATTGCCGTGCATACCAAGATGTCAACCCGTCGCAAATACTGCATCTCGTGTGCGGAACGTCTTATTCCCATGGAAAATAGAAGGAGTGGCATGTTGAGGCTAATTGTGTGCATGTTAGAACGATCGACTGTTTGCTCAGAATGTGAGCCCATACGTACGAAGTGTAGGCATACCAAAACCGAGTTGGATGACGCGCAACGTGCCGGCGTCTTCAGTTCCCTTGAGCGAAAACGTCTCCCTAGCCTTTTGGTACTCCAGGATGGCCTTACCAAAGGAAAACCTTGTGTTGGGCTTCTAGCATGACGGCTAAAGCAACCCTGCCAGCCAGTATCCTGAATGCTTTGCTCAAGCCGGGAATGAACTTGTTGGCATCGTAGCTGAGCTGCAATTTGGTACATCTCCTAGCACTGTTGGGGACGTTAATGTCAGGATTTAAATGTCATTGAGACTCTTTCAGAATTTTTAGAAATGAGCCGAGTACTTACTATCAGCAGCCATGGCGAGGTCCATTATTCTCACACTTGCCGCAAGACGCCCTGGAGGTGTTTCGGGGAATGCAAAGGACACGACATGCCCGTTGTCGCCGTGTGTTGTCCAATCTCTGCCAGTGGCACTGATGGTGGGAGGACCAGAACTTTTCCACCCGTTGGTCAACTGGGCGCTTGCTTGGTTAATCACATCCTCAAACCTGCCGATACGAATGGGAAGGGATGTGATATTGCCTCCCCACTGAGGTAGATCCAAATCACACGACTTTGAGAATTTAAAGACTGCCATTCTGTACACTGATTTTGCTTTTCAAGTTATGAGATGACAATCAAGGATTCGCGAGATACATGTACACGACGTGATAAAGCAAGGTTTCGCAGGTAGGCTAAATAATGTATCCCAAACACAAGTAACTACTGCATGTAAAATCAATCATCAGAGAGTAAGTAGGTGAGGCTGAAACATTAGCCACCAATGACACAGCGTCTTGCCACCATGAGCGCTGATAATTTTCCGAGTCTACAACAATTCGGGAAAACCCTTCACATACGGTGCCGTAGCACTTCGACAGAGGCTGGAGATATTGAGCTTACCTCTACTTGCATTCGTCGCTGGCATTATAAGGTGAGAGGTGTGGTCACGTGCGGGTCTCATAGACAAGCCCAACGTGACGGGGCACGGGAAATTTGGAATATTCAACCATCACCAGGCATGGTGAAACAGAGGATATATCAACAAGCTGATCAATAATCTGCATCTACGAATGGGTCTGGATCGTGTCAATTGTGCACTCTGTGGTACTCCAATTGAGGAGGGCAAAGGATGGCCCTTGTGGATGCAACAGTTCCGAGCAGGTGACTGACACGCGTCGCTATTTTCGGCATCGCACACTGACTGCATCTAGTGTATGCTACGAATGAAGACTTGAACTTGGCCCATCTTTCCGGCGTCGGGCACCGCGAACCGTTCTCCGACATAATCCACCTTCCCGCCAATCCCGTAGCTGACGCTGAAGTGGTCGACATCTATCTAATGCGCCCGTGTTTTGGAGAGCCCAACCTCGCTGTGGGAGGAGGTTTTCCTGATACCTGGGGCTTTCCTTTCCACGTCCCCTGCTGGAATATTCTAAACAGTGTCCGGCCAGGGGACCCGCCAAATATAGGAGCCGTATTTGATATGCTTCGTTCTTTCCCAATCCAACTAGGCATTCTAAATCTCGGGCATAACTACGGCGGGTTGCTTCAGTAGGAATAGCATGCGGGTGAAGTTGCCGCAGGAGAAGAAGCCTGGCTCGTCCAGGAATCAGACCCAGAGTATCAGAGACATGATCCATTCGATATCCCAGAGTTGCGCCAATTCGTGGAGCAAGATGGCGTAAACGGCGTCGGAAACAATACAACCCCGTGTCGTGGCCACGAAGCCAGTCCCCAGGGGGGTCCCTTTTCTACGCTTCCGAGCCAGATCCTTCAACATATTCTCCAATTCCTCCCCTCCCCGTGTGTGGTGCGCCTAAAACAAGCCTCCCGGGTTTATACAAATTTGCACTTGCCAGATTCATTCTGGATATCTCGGTTTCTACAAGGTTATGAATTTGAATGTGTGTTTGAGGCCTTTCAGCGTGTCTCTTCGCAGAGAGGGAAATGGAAGGCCTTATACGCATTGGTCAGATCATTACACAACGAGCCCGCCATGGTGAACAGAAGACGAGTTTGGAGCCTCGCATGCTCTCTGCGAGAAGTCCTGGATCAAATGAGTAGCAATTGTGACGGCAATCTTGTGCGGTCTTTTTTCGAGCCTAGCGCTCCCTTGGACAATAAGCACTGCATTATGGCTACTAGAGCCCTTCATGCGCCTGGATCAAGTTTCACAAATGGCCGACGCACTCTTCGGGAACAAACTCTCACTATTCCCAGCGATCCGGTGACGATTTTTATTTCCAGTATTACAATGTTCGGAAGATTCTACATTTCAGGCATTCGTCTTGAATCAGAACACGGCGTATATTGCAGCATTGGGTACAACTCCTCGGCATGCGAGTCTCTTTGTCTTAAAAATTGCGGTAATTGTTGGCTTCCATCTCGACCAAGATGAGCGGGGAGTTCGCGGGATTGCTCAACACGGGCGTCATGTCATAATGGATAGGAGAGCATCAAAATATCCCAAAAAGGAGACTCGTCCTCCGCTCTAATGAACCGACCCCTATCAAGTTTCTGAAGGGTGGATTTGATGTACGCCTTCCAACTAGTCTTCGTTTTCTTTCTTTCCAACTTTGCCGTTAGGCCCTCAAGCTTATGTCGTTATCAGTATCAGACGGGGACCAAAGTCAATTAAGCTTGGACGATAACCTAACACTTCGAAATACCGCCAACTGGTTTCCGGATATTCCCGATGAACGCCTCTCCATCATTGGGGTTGAGAGCCGAGAGACTACCAGATCCGATACAACATTGCCCTTAACGATGGCCGCGTTTGGTGGGCGACTAGAATATCAAAGTGTACAGCATATCCGGGGCATCATCTTCCGCATCGGCGATGGCGGAAATATATGGGGTCTTGATTTCTATTTTACTGATGAACAACAAGCCATTCGACTTGGCGTAGATGGTGTTAGTTCGGAAGAGAAGTTTCATTTTATAATGGACCCAGGCGGCGAGCATATAGCTAGGATTGTCGCGCTCTACCCCATCAATGGTGGCCTCAGGGGGGTTAAGGTGACACCCTTCGCACCATGTCATCGTTATTCGAGGATGTCGAGCTGACTACAGACCTACTCAAGATCTATACAAACTCTGGCCGGATAGCTGAATATACCCCTCGTTCGCGTAGCGGCCCATGGAAATCCGAATCTCTTTGTCCAGGAAATGGGATCGTCATTGGCTTTTGCTCCAGAGTGGCAAGTTAATCAGCACTCCCAGAAGCACTTCCAAGACTAATGTATTCCGGTACAGAGTCAACAGAGAGGCTTGACTAATATTGGCCTCGTCTGCATTATGCCCCATGCTTAGGTCGAATTACACCCGGCACGATGAATATCCAACATTTAATCCATGTTGAAGAAGCGCTTTTACAGAAGTATCTCTCAACGAACAGTTTAGACACTTCAACCAGAGCGGTCAGCTGTTAAAGCGATCTAGAGACAATCTAGCCATCATGTCTGTGCCATATTTATTAGTGCAGGCGAGTTGATACTAGTCCGGCCCTAGCTCTCGTCTGCCGTCGGCCACGGTCGCTGTTGACGCTGAACTCTTTGCGGTGCTCCCTACGCTTTATTCTCATTCAGAATTGATCCAACAATGCGGAACATATCTCAGCCGCTGACTGGACTGGGCCAAATGTACAAGCTCCCAAAGACTAGCCACCGCTCCAAGGCTCAATGTAATGACTGAAAGGCGAGCTTCTCAAAGAGGGTAAAAATTCGCCCTCATAAACCAACTGAAAAGGAAACCGGAGCACCCGCCGGGAACAATCCCAGGTACCGTACGTACTCTTCCGCCCGGGAGTCGATTGGCTTCGAGGATCATGCAAGTGGCTACGTCACCAGCAGGGCAGCGGAGCAAGCAATTCAAGAAGAGGATAGCGAAACCCTTTCTCCCACGTGTATATTTAACACCTCTCCCAAGTGCAGTGTCCAAAATCATGTCGGGGTTTGAGTGAGTGTCGCGATGTACGCTCGAGGGGCGTCGAAGGAACTTATCAAGTACATAACTAGATGGGTAAACACACAATTTTACAGGCCTTTAAATACTATCTGTGTCAAGTTCACCATAGGGGACTTGCAGTAAGTGCTGAGGGTCCATCGGTCTATGTGGCTGTCGGGCCGAGTGTGACAAGAGAAAACAGAGGAACGTGGTAGATATTTCCTATAGACGGGATATTATATGAAACTCTAACATTGAGTCCTTATAACCTTGCTCGCGGACTATCAAGACCTACCATGCTCTGTTATCGGATGAATGTTTAAGACAACTTGACTAGTTTTCTTAGCCTTTGAATGACGACGTGGTTCTAGATTCTTTCAGGACTAGCATAACCCATAAGTAACACACTTCAGCATTCGGGTTTCGTCCAAGTTTAGTAGGTAATTTGCGCTCAGGACCAAATCGAGATTCTAAACGCCATGTGCGTGCAGATTACACTATTTCCTATATTTATCCACTCAGCCGGCTAATAGTGGATTGCAGGCTGGAGAAGGATGCTCCTCTCGGCATGGGCGGATGCCACACCTTATTTCTAACTGCCCGTTTCCAAACTTACTTCTCAGCTCGTGGAGACTTTATGGAGAAACCATATCAAAAGGCTACCGAGGCAAGAGGGCTGTCTGACGGACTCCCTGTACACCTATCAATCTTGCGGTTTCTGTTTAGTTTTGTGAATTTTGTTTCCTACAAACATGAAGCCTGCTGTTATGGCAGCGATCGTCTTTGCGGCCACCACTGTTTATGCTCAGATCAATGTCCTTGCCGGCGCTCTGTCTAATATTTCTTCCAGCGCCGAAGCTCTCGACAATGCTACTAGGAACTCCGACATACGCCGTCAAGACCAACACTGATACACTTATCTCCACGACAGCATCTGGCAAGGACGCAATCAGTGCCTCGAACGTCATCACACTCACCGCCTCTCTGGGTTTGAATGGCCCTGTTCTGCGCCACAACAGGGACTTTGAAACCCTGGCTGCCGACATGAAAACCAAGCGCTCTGATATCGAAACGGCGAATGCCTACGGATATTCACTCTAGGATCGTTAGCATCAACACGGGTTCGTTGGGCCTTGTTGAGGCTATTATCGCCAAAGTCCCCCAGGCTGCACAGCCTATTGTTCGACAGGTCGCCACTGCATCCTCTAGGGTCCTGGGACGATGTGGGTGCCATCACGGTCATCGGACTCTTCGTCTATCTTTTTCTAAGGCGCAGGAGGCAGTAGAAGCTAAAACAGGAGCGCGAAAGCCGCCGTAGAACTTAACGCGAATAACGGCTTACCGCTGTTATTAAAGGACTGTAAAGAAGAAGATGTGAAGGCGGAGCTCAGCGGGTAAGAGACGGAGAGAAGAGAAATGTGCGCGGAAAGCACGGCGATACACGAGGCGCCGGGAAATACGCGATACGAGTTAGAGTAGACTACCGAGGTCCAAGTCTGTCAGGAATTATCCACGATGAAATGGATGCGCTGGAGTCTTAACTCGAAAACTACTGCTTAATTCCATGTGTTTTTGCTCGTGCTGACTGGGAATGCCGAATGACGCGGCGTTTCATTTGTCCATTAATACTCTCACCAGCCTGTAGACGTCTGGCATGATTTGGGAGGAGGCCTGCCGAACTGTGACACCAAGACTCTACGTCGTTCAAGTCGCAAGGCCGAGCGGACGGGACGATGTAACGCGTTCACTCCAAGTTTCTAACCAGCTTAATTTAGCATGCGCCTCCAAGGGGCGGGCAGATGAAACACCATCCGGCTGAAGACCATTGTTCGTGTCCGACAAGACTAAGCCGCGGTCATGAAATATTGCCATCCTAGCGGCCGGAGGAAGCCAAAATCATAGACGCCGTATTTGGTATGTTCTTCCATCCTCTACCATGAGAGTGCCCTTTTTGCAAAATAGTGCCGCCGCAAGGTCGTCGCTCAGGGGGTGAAGCTGGTAGTCGTGTGTCTCTCACACTGAAGCCAGACTGTGCTTCATAAAGAGTAAAAAGCGCATCTGACTGCTTCAACATCTCGTTGTATTGCGCCGAAACAACTAATTCTGTGCTTAGTTCGAGAGTAGGGATATGCCAGCCTCTTCGGGCACAAGTATTTGGTTGTCTTGAAGTGCCAAAATGGCATGGTATAATCGACGACGAACGATGTGATTTACCTTTCCGAGAACCGAGGGAAGTTGTCTCACATGGCCTATGCATGGCTCGGTTCGAACATTCGAAATGTAACCCGCAGTACAAAGTTACAACCTGCTCGGATCCTCCGCCAGCCTCGGAAACGGTGTCGCACGATAAATACCACGCCGCGTGATTTAATGTGTTGCGCTCTGTACGGTCCCGCACGAATTAGACCTGCGAGTCCTAGGCATTCAATCAGTGGTCAACTGACAGAGTTTCCTGCACCGAGTATGCATCCATTCATCCTTGGACGGCATACTCAGACTGTGTCAACCGCCTCGGCAGAAGCTCAAGGCTGGTTTAATATAGAGCCGAACTGATGAAATCCTGTGTCATGGCTCATTGAGGCCTCGCGTACGCTTCGGGGCCTTTCTACAACCCCATCTGACGCGAAATAGGAGAGCAAGAGACTGCCAAAGCAATAACACGTGCTCGACATCACAATAACCAGGCGGAAGCGCTCGCAAGTCACGCGATGGCTGTGGAGAACGCGCTCACCAAAGCGGCCTCGACTCGCCTTCAGCATCAAGCCCGTAGCATTAGCCGAGTACGACAAGTGCAATGACGACTACACAGCCACGATGCAGTGCGTCTACGAGGCGTTCCCGGATGATGACGATGTCACGGTGCTGTTCGTTGAAGCTCTAATCACCAGCACTCCGCGACGACTGTGGGATATGAAGACCAGATTGCCTGCTACCGGAACAGATACCCTTGGAGCCATGGCCATCTGCAAAAACAACGATGCTGCGGGCAAGGCGCGGCATCTAGGCATTCTTCATGTCAACGCTAAAGGCCCCTTTCAATGGAAAAAGGCTGCTATTCATCGGGGACCCCAATAAGCCCCAAAACGCCTCAAATAGCTGCTTTCCGATTGTACGAAAAGCCTTAAAAGAAGGCTCGCGCTACCACCCTATTAAAGCTAGACCTTTAATAGCTGGATACCGTAAAACCCCTTAAATTAATTACTTTTTAGGTAACCTATTAAATAACCTTAATATTTATAAATAAGAGCTTATTTTTCGTACTTAAATAGCTTTAATTTTAAGAATAATTCTATTATTTAATCTGCTTTTATAGCTATTAACGTAATAATTATAAGCCTAATTTACTATTAAATTTAAGATATTTTAACGTTAAATTATAATATATTAAAGGCCTTTAATAAAAGATTTAATTAACCTAGCTATAGATATTAAAGGTTCTTTATTAGTAATCTTAATAGGTTTAAGAAGCTAGTTTTAATAGATTTTTATTATAAGAAAGTACGCTATTAATTAGGGTATTTAATATTTAATTAACTCTTAATAGTCTAATAAGATAACTATTATCTCTCTAAAAAAACCCTAACCTAATAATATTAACTTTAAGGCTATAATAATTATAAATCTTAATAAGGTTTAATGTGACAGCAATATTCATAATTATTATAATATAATAGCTATTAAAGATAATATTTTAAGATAATTAAAGCTATTATAAGCCTAATTAAAGCTTATATTATAGGAATATAAAAGAGAGGTTTTACTAAAATATAAACTAATATTAAAGGGCGTTAATTATATAAAAATTAAGGTTTAAATTATAAGCTAATAGAAGGTACTAGTAAAAGCTTATTAAGTTAACTTACTTAATATAAAAGAGCTTTAATTAACCCTAGACTTTCTAGCTATAATAGCTTTTATTAGCCTTATATTTTTAAGCTACTAGAATAATTATATTTAATTTATTATAGGTATTAAGTTAATCTAAGAATAATTAATAAAAAAGATTAAAGATAGCTTTAAATTACCTTTATAATTAAAAACATTACTATTATTAATATTTATACTTAAATAAGCCTCTTAGAAATCTAATATAAAAGCTTAACGCTAAAATTAAAGCTTAAATTTAATAAAAGCTATTAAATCTATTTATTGAGGTAAAAGTTAATTAAGCTTATTAATAAGCTTTTAATTAAATTAATTAAAAGTAATAAAAAAACCTAAAAATAAAAGAAATCACGTTTTTAAGCTAACTTTAATAATAATAATAAGGTATTCTTTAAAATAAAGGCTCTTATTAATAAGGTTCTTTATAAGATAAAGGCCTTTTATAAGTGTTAGGGTAATTTAAGCCTTAATAGCATTAAATTAAAGAAGTTAATAAATGCTTTTTACGAGTATTAATTAAAGAAGCTAATAAACGCTTTTTATAAGTATTAAAAGCCTAAAAAATTAATAAATAATAAAGCCTATAAAGGTTTAAATATTAGAGGGCTTAAAAGGTTAAAAAATAAGAGTAGCTTAAAGGGCTTAAAAACGCTAAAAACGCTAAAAACGCTTAAATTAATAAAAAAAGCTATAACTAATAAAAGTATAAGTTAAATTACGTAAAGTAAGTAGCTACGTTATTTATCTAGTTAATTTATAAGAATATTTACCCTTTAAAAGACTCTTTTATCCTAGATTTTAGGTTAAACATATATATTTATAATAACTTTAATTAATTTATTAATTATTAAGTTCTTTAATAGCTTAAAGAAGTCTTTATAAGTAATATAAAGCTTTGAATTAAAGGGTATAAAAAGGTCTCTTTATAAATATAAATAAAGCTCTTTTAGCTAAAGCAAGTAGCCTTTATTTTAACCCTTTATATAAATATAGCCTAATTAAATAGCTTTTTAAAAAAGAGCTATAATTAAAACCTAATTATAAGAGTTATATTAAAGAATAATAAAGTTATCTTTTATATAAGGTGTTACTTTAAGTAGCCTATTATTAAATTTAATGAAATTTATTAAATTAAAAGCTTTTAATTTAATTTAACGTAATCTTAACCCTAAAAAATAGCTTTTATTAACCTTTAACACTAATAGTTAAGCTACTTAAACGTAAATAGCCTTAAACATTTAATTTAATAGATTATTAGGTTAAAGATTAAAGGCCCTATATAAATTAATTATAAAGCCTATTTTAAGGCTAAGGTTAAAAGGGTTATCTCTTATAAAAGCCCTTAAGTAATAAGCTTAAGACTCTTTTAAAGGATTTACATTAATATCTTTTAATTTAAGCTTAATTATAATAATAAGTTAATAGCTTTAATAATTAAAGATAGATTCTTAGGCCTTTTAATAGTCTTTAATCTTAAAAATACTACTTAAAATACCCTATTATTAGCTCTTTAATTATTTAAGACTTAAATTTAAAGGTAATATTAATTAAGTATTTATTAAATCTATTAAGATAATAATAAAAGCCTTTAAATAGCTTATAAGGCTTAAATTAATTATAAAGGTATTATTAATAAGCTTATATTACTATATATACCCGCTTAAAATAGCCTTACTAAAAGGTTTAAGAGTATTTTAGGGTTAAAAGCTCGTATAATATAGCTAATAGTTAACCTTCCTATTAAATTATAGCTTAAAATCTAGAAAGCTACTACCTATCTTTATAATCTATTACTATAATAAGGTTTACCTTACTAAAAGGTTTAAAGGTATTCTAAGTGTTACGAACGACACTACACAAGACACGGGACGGGACCGTAACGGCTAGGACAGGCACGACTCGTAGGTATAAGAAGAAGGTAGGGGCACGTGACTAGCTACGTGACCTAAGAGGCGATTAAAGATTTTAATATTTAAATATAAATATATTAATTAGGGAGAATTAAA